ACGCAAAGTTTTTCCCCTATTAAAACGAGAAAATGAACATAATTCCCTCTATTAATTTTTGCATTGCAGGAACTGGATGTTTATGAGTTGGTAGGCTGGTTGTGATGCATATCAGGGTTCAACAAAATCAAATTTCATAGTGATAATTTTGTTTACATGTTTGTTTACGTTGTGGTTGCCCGAATTTGAAGTCAAAGTCATAGTCATACAATGAGGTATTGCTTTGCATGACGGTAAATTTTCTGATTTTAATGAATATTTTGACGGTATTGTAATCTGTCTGACTTCCTGACTCCCTCGGCCCGGGTGTGAACGGTTTGTTTACCCGCACTGCGCTTCGAGACAAAAGAACGCTAGTCGTTTCCAGACCGGGGATAGAGGGACTGTGATTAAATATACATTCTTAACCCATTTTCGGACAAGTTTTTGTTTTGACAACTATTTTTAAAATATGACAATATTAAGACTATTATTATATTTCAGTCACCGTAACGCCATAAGTTACAGCGTGCCATAATTTTGCGGTATTTTACGGCGTATTTTCATCCTACTATATGAGAAAATGAGAATTCCAAATATGGAATGATTACGCGCATAGAGTTTGACCGAACTCCACACAAACAAGTTTGCTGATTCTGTTCTAAACTTTTTTGGATTTCGGTATTCCCGTGATGTATTTGGAAGGGAAAGACGTATATTAATAAAGTTAATGTCTTGGTGTATACTCGTAATAACCTCATATTATTTTGAGCAAGGGCAAAGTTCTATACCTAGACATTCCGCCCCATATACATCCATGTATTGACACTGATAGATTGCTCCCTGTGGATGTGCATGTTGTCACTGTCCTTTTTTATAAACAGAAACAATGTGTATGTTTCTAACACGTGTAACGTGTTTGATGTAAATGATTCAGTGTGTGTCAGTAAGTGAATCCAAGTATGTCATTGTAATCGTTGCCACATTTTAAAACGGAAATCAATGAAACTGAGGAGCGGCATTTATTGAATGGTGGGGGAGGGGGGGGGCTAGGTTTAGGGCAGCAGAATTATTATATAATTATTGTTACTACTGTAACAACAGAATAGCGTTGATGTGGTTGATTTCTTCAAAAACGTTTTTATTTTGTTTGGAAATACAGTAATGTCAAGCAAGCAAACCCCCCCCCCCCCCATGGAGAGGTATAAGTTGTATAAATATTTACTTAGCAAATGAATGGCAATAATTTGGCCAATGATTGAAGAAAACTCGCAAATTTAAAACCAATGTAAATATCCATTTTGGTTTTATACTTTTGTTTATAAATTTACATAACAAACTTGTTATGCCATCAGGAAATTTACTGTATCAAAATACTGTGAAAACTGTGTTTTAAGTTCACGAACTTGCTAGTGCAACAATGAGTTCAATTGTTATTTTACATGTTTACAGCGGTTTAATTTAAATTAGTGAATTTTACATATATGCGAAAATATCAAATTTAAAAATAAGTGATTACAATTGACGCTTATGTTTATGTTTTTAAGACAATGCACGTAACCGCCACTTCACTGAATCACATATTATTTTACAGGGTCATTAGAAAGACAGGTAATTGAAATGATTTTCAAACATCGTCCGAGAGTAACCCTCCATGTTGACGTCATCGAACCCGCCATTGACCAGATAAACCAATTTAAAGTGAAGTCAGATGAGATGAAAGCAAAGTATCCTAAACTGACGTTTGGATGGTTTCCGCTCACATGGGATGGTGTTAGAGGAAAACAGGAGATTAATAACAAGAAATATCATTTAATTGTATGTGTAAACGGTTTATATTATATGGACGACTGGGCAGAGACGATTAACCAATTTTACAACATCTTAGCTTCACGTGGCGTCATGTTCATTACTATAAACAGCAGTGAAAGTAAGTGTTATCATGTATATTTTAATAAATCGGCATTTGACAGACAGTTAAATTGACAGATGTCGAAGGCCAGTTGACGAAACTAAATGGGCGAACACTGTTCGTCACATCGACTGTTTTTGGTGGACTAATTGTTATAATGGCAGCCATGGCAGGTGGGCAACACATCGGTAAATTTCGATGAGCAGTCTGTCATTACAGCAAGTCTCAGAAGTATTGGGGAAGCAAGTTAGAAAACTTGCTCACTGAATCGTCAATCATTTTTGTTTTGACTAAAGCAATATAATGTAACCTACAATTTGAATATTACCCTTCATTTTTTCATCTTTGATTGATTTTAAAATCTAAAACATAAACTAATGAACAGATTTTAAATTAGGTTTACAGGAATAAAAAATATGCAAAATTGTTTCTGATAGTCTGTTCTGTCAAACCGAATTAGTTTGCCAATACTTTGAGACTTGCTGTAAGTTTTCGTTGAAATGGCACATCTTCAAACATACAATCACATTGATGACAATGTACAATATCTTATATATTTCACATTTCCTGGCAATATATTATTGTCAAATCTAAATTCTCCTGTACCAAATTATTAATTGCCCTGAAAACTCACAGAAAAAGTCACGACTGTATAAAATGTTGATATTATCATATATTACTTAAACCAATAGGTGGATGTGGTAATCTTTTCAAGAACTATGCATCATGGGAAGGTAGAACAACTCATCTGCTAACTGCTGATAACATCATTGCTCACCTTCGATCGACAAATGTCCCATATAAACGCTACATTCGTAAAACTACGGTGGATATCTCCGAGGTCTTCAATGGAAATTCAGAAGGCGGTAACATGTTGCTCGATTTTCTTGTACAGCGTAAAGACTTTCGAAAGACTGCACCTGAGAAACTAAAGAAAAAAGTGTTTGGTTTCATCGAAAACAATTCTAAGGTAGTTCAGGGCAAAACATTAATTACAGACGATGAAATCGACTTAGTTGTAATTAAGTAATAACGTGACCAATATGTATAATATATGCCACAGAATAAATGCTAAATAATTTATATGCATTGGTGAATTAAAACGATTCTATTCTCCTTGACAACAGTTAATTGATTTTTAATATTCAGAAGTTCGTCTTTTTTATCAGACATTCTATTCAAGTAATGGATAGTTAACAGCTTATATGTTGTGCAATATTTCCAATAAAATCAGAGTCTTCTTCTTCTGTGAGAAATCAAAATGTCAACACTGGATCAAATACGTTGACGTAAATTGGAATAATGACGGAAGTCATTATATTTGCGTGTTAAGTCTAATATAGTTCTGCAGAATTCTATTCGTTTGTACATTGTACTTATACAAAAATTTGAGTATCAACGACAAAGTTACTATTCTTACTACACTAACTTCGTCACAATACACATTTACTCTACTATTATGAATTACCATAAGAAATTCACAAATTAAAAATATATTTTACCTTGGAACTATATAACTTGGAAAGTTAATTACCATTCTATATCTCAAGATTGTAACAAATCAATCACTGCTTAGTTACACTTCAATGAGTTAACATGTGTGTCAGCTATGTGCATAACTCGTGACCATGTAGAGCACTCTTACACAAAAATATAAATATTCAATCTATTTGAATGACGTTTACAGGTTTATAGGGAAAGATATAATATATAATTGCCCTCGTTTTGCTGAAACAAATTGAATAACATAATTTCACAGATTTTGATAATTGGTTGTGGAATAAACAACAATTGTTTGATGCGATTAAACGCCAAACCTGTTTAGCATAGTTTAACTCGTTTTACCCTGTTGCTACTTTAAGTTATTCACAGCAAAAAAAATGTTGTTTTTTTTTTGTTTTTTTTTTTTTCCGATCCATATTTTTACTACAACTGAATTATATGTATCACATGGTGCAAATATTTCTGTTGTTTGACAGTGTTGGCTACACACTGGTTTCAAACTTAAATAGCTTTCGGAATTTGTGTTCATTTAAAATGTTCGAACTATGTTGTGGCGTATTTATAGAGAATGGGACCTACGGTTTGTGTTTGTCTTGTGTTATGTTCTCAAACAATGTCGCCAAAATAGTTAAATACTTAAATTGTATTCGAGTTCCATATATTGCTATAACACAACATCAACAATCACAAACGTTTTTTGTAGATAAATTGTGGATGCAAATAATACATCAAGAATAGTGTCAAAGTTTCACGGGGAACAAAGCAAAAAACTGTGATCTATTTAACGCTGAACAGCTACGAAACACATATTGTGAGTATGATTAATTTACATAATCATAATCATTCACAGGTACTTATAATAAAGTTTTTATAGCTCTCATATAAGAACATCAATTACTATATTGTGAAACCACAACCACATTATACTTGTGTAGTCTTTTACAAATTATGTTTTGCACTTTTTATTGTTTTTTGAGCATTGTTTGCATGTTCCACTTGTGGTAGAGTTTTTTGAAATATTAAAAATGCAAACAATGGTGTTAGGGCTGCATATATATCCTAAGATAATTACGCCGTTATCTAGCAATATGTCACTAATACGCTTCCGTAGATATCCAAAGATCAAACTATTTGTTTTAAAATAAAACTTATAATAATTAAACTACAAGTTCTTTACGTACATTAGCCATATATTTCCCATCTTAGCATCGTTGTCTGAACAATTTCAAATGTTGGTCTTGTAAGTTTTCATTCGATTATGGTCACTAATTCTGAACTTTGTGATTTATGCTATGGCTGATCTGAGTGGATAGTTGAATCAACAGTACAGTGTGGTATTGTCCGGGTAGTCATCCTAACATATGTATGTTTAGCTAATAGGATGGAAGTGAGAAATCCCCATGAACGGAACAAATATTTCGTATGTATTTCATACGCAGTATAGTATAACATGAAGTGTGTTCGTTCACTCAATCATATATTGCGATACGTTCAGTCTTAGCCGACCCCGACTACAATTAGCAATGTAACCTCTTCGAAGTTACAAACATCAAGCTGACAGAAGGTTATCAAGTGTACTGTCACATTTAATAGATAAATAATATTGGAATTTTGTGTATAGCTATTTGTTCGCGATAACGATATATTTTTATCTAAGTGGTAGGACCTCACGACCTAGTAATTGTTTCTTTAGATTTGGTGCAAATAAAATAATTCAGTGACCCTGTTCAAGCTTTTACGTACTCAACCTCGTCATAAAGTATTTTGTTGTATTGATTCTATCTTACATTTGTATATGTTTGAATACAATATTATATTATTAATCTTATTACCCTAAACCCAACACGTATAAACCTCCAGCACTGCTTAAATGTATAAATAGCGACTTTTCTCCGAAATGTCTTAACATGGTAGCGTGATGAGTATATTTAGAAATAAGTAGATAATGTCAATAAGTGAGATGAATAATGATTAGATTGCGTTGACACGATTGTTTGAGTCAGTTATCAGAAGTATAAGTAGTGCGAGACAATTGGAAAGAATTACTTGCGATCAAGTCTGTTTGTTAAACATTCTTTGGTACATGTATGGGAATGGATACAATGCACGTTAAATTTAAATTCATCGAAATGAAAAATGTTATTCGAATTTGTGGATGTATTCTTTGTATCCATGTCACACGCAACGTAATATTACCGTAATTGGTATAGTACAGGTGTGATGGTTCAAATACCAAAATGGCAACAGTAACAGAAAGACTTCCCTGGCAGCGATGATAAAATACGAACACGGAGCCAACAGATGAGGTTTCAACTGGTACTGGTATTATTATACTCTGCAAACATCAAGTACAATAACGCGGTAAAACTCCACTACTCCAATAACTAGATACTTAAACTCCAATACAATTCAACGAGATCTCCGATCTGAACTCAGTGCTGAACAACTCCCCTATATATATATCCCCACTGTCTATAAATAGACCATTACATCAGCATACATAATGAGTCTGGAACTTACTACAAATTTCTAGAATGTTCCATTACCTTCTATTGCCTCCTACAGTGTTCTATTACCTATTCAACCACTTTCTAAAAAAACTAGAATATTCCACCCAGACACAGTACGGTTCTAGTGACACGGAAGTGGTAAATAAGTCTTATGCGACAATCCATAAATAGAATGTTTCCGTGTTGGGGCAGGGCAATTATCACAAAATGTTTGTCACAAACAAGACATTGCTGGCAACATGTTGCAGTCCCTGGCGAATAGTTACAGAGATGAAACTTAAAAAGTAATTTCCGAAGCTCAATATTTTTAATGTCTGTGAAATATTTCTCTAAACTAAATTTATTTTTACCTTTGCCTTTTCTCCTATTGTCATCGTGTATTTCATACTGAAAATACATTTATTCTTTCATTAATATTTTTGGACCATCAGATCAATCGTTAAAATAGATTTCATTTTCTTGTACCATTTGCTTATGTGGCTGTTCATATATTTAAGTAATTACTTTTTATTGAATCACTGAATTGAATATTTACCCAATTCACTGTGAATGGCTATTTCAGAAGAAAGCAGAATTCGAATCACACCATGCGGTTGAGGGAGTTTGTTTGAGCAGTATGAAGAGGCAACGTATTAATGGACGTATTAATAGTTTATGACAGTCTACGACAATTTTTGAAGGTTGTTAGTTCAGTTTGTAAATATAATAAATAATAAGTCTCTCGAGATGGGACTGCGGCTTGCATGGTCTGTTGAGTTGCGGCTGCAGTTTGCTGGGTATTTTGGGCTGGGTTGTGGCTTGCGGCTTCAAGGGGATGTCAGTTAGGGCTGTGTCTTGCAGGGTTTGTCTGGTTTTGAAGTTGCTGGCAGGGTATAATAAGTCAGGATGTGGCTTGCAGATTTTCCGATTAGATATTTCTAAAATTGCTTCTATATGCCCTTGCCTTACTTTGCGGTTATCCCCCTCGACAATAGTGTGACGTCGCAAGTGTCGTTAAAGTGTTTTGACTTTACTGTGACCAATAAGTCGGTGTTTGCTAAGAGCAAGTTACCCTTTGCTCCCTCACTGCCCTTGTTCAAATATTGCAAATTTCAACTGGCACCACATTGGATCAATCTTGATAATTGTCAAAACAGTCACACAATGGCGCAGAGTGTTTGGGGTACATGCTCTCTGTTTTTCTTAATACAATCTGTGTTAGGGACATCATTGTACTTAGCGAAGCGCGATGAAATCCTGACACAGGAAGCTTCTCACTACTCTGGAATTGACGTGCCATTGAAGGGAAAAGAGTGGGCTGTCAACGATGTAATCATGACCTTAAAAAATTCTGAGATATCAGAAGGACGTCGGACCAGTGACTTCCCTCCCGCTGTGCACTTCTTTCACGCATTGCCTTATATAGATAAAAGTAAAGTATTTGAAATTATAAAGTTGATGCCCAAAGGTACGTCATATCACTTGCCTTGGCTGAGTTGTGTAGTATAATATAAAAAATTCCATGCGATCATACAATACTTATATCATACTTGTACATATCTGTACCGACAATCTCTATTGACAGGTAACCTGGTTATATCTCGAATTGATTTGTTCTAATGAATACATGTATATGTGTAAAAAGGAGTTGTCCGTGAAAGGTCTGCACCTATGCTGTAAATTTGAAAGGCAGTTATATGTTTTGTTTTTTTAATAAAACAAACTTTATGAACACATATGTTCTATTTAAAACTAGTAGCTTTGCGATAAGTGGCTTTCGTGGTAGGTGGATTTCGTAGCAGATAGCTTTTGCGGGCAGTAGGGTTTTGTCTCAGTGATTCGTCCTTTCATCGTTGTGAAGAATTAAAGTTTCATGTGTCTTAAACAACTGGTGCTATTCTGGGAATAGGAGCTGTTAATTTGCCCTTATGATTTGTGCAGTTGCTCTGGCAGTAGTTACTCAATTAAACTCATGCTCTGATAATCCCCTTAGATTTTTAGACCAAGAAACATTTGACCATTTATAGAATGGGCTTTGCAGCATGCATTTTTTTATAATGCTCAGTGATATAGTGTAAGTAATGTTCT